CCTCCCCCTCCTCCCCGACATTGAAATTCGACCACAGCAAAAACAGCACCAGCGCAACCTGCCCCCCACGACTAGAACATGATCGACCCACGAACCTGGAAAAGAATTGGAAATGTGGGGCATGGCTACGTTTTCAATACACCTGATTGGGCAACAAATCAATACACTGCTCAAGGTATCAATCGTGAAGTACCGTGCCAACGACTGTGCTGTGCTGTGCCGTGCAGATGAAATATATCATGCCGAAAGGAGTTGCGTGTTGCTCTATAATGTTGTGGATCAATTAATTCTTGGCATTCAAATCCTGACCGAACTGATATGGATCTTAAGATCGAGCTGGATGAAAGCATAATTAACTGGCCCAGGAGTGGTTGCAGTCGGAACGTGTGGGAGACTCAATCAGCTCGAGCTCAAGAGCCGACTCAGTTCCGAAGCAGGACGAGACGACACGGGGCGCAGGGCGCATGTACGCGCCACGGAATATGACAGGGGCACACTAGGTGAAGCGCCAGGGGACGCATCAGGGGACGTGGCAAGGGACGCGCCACGGAACGGGCAGGGAAAACGCCAGGGGTCAAGCCAGGGAACGCCACAGAGGACGAGCCAGAGGACGCGCCCAGGTGGGAGGGGCATACGCTGTCCCGGTCTAGGGCGTTAGGAACCATGTGTTTTCACGCTTGTCCGACTTTGGGGCGTTGAGAAACCATGTGCTTTCACATGTCCAGGCCGCCCTGGGACGGATATCTAACGTGTGGTCGTGAAAACACGAGATTCCAGCTCGGGGCAACCGTGTTAGAAACCTGCAGAGTGGCCTGGACGCGTGACTGGGATTCCTGGACACATGAAAACGAATGGCTACAGACCGGGACCACCATGTCAGATAGCCCATTGGTGGCCTCGACACATAAAAACACGCGGTTCCAGCTCGGGACCACCATGTCCGACATGCCCCTGGGTGACCTGGACACGCGAAAGCATGTGGTTCCAGCTCGGAACCACCATGTTGGTTGCCCCTCTGGGTGGCCTGGACACGTAAAACCACGTGGTTCCAGCTCCGGACATTCATGCTAGATAGATGCCCCTTTGGCCTGGATACGCTAGATTCGCGCTCCCGCTCAAGACAGCTTCGCAGCGCTTTCCCTGACAAGGCCACCAAAGCGCCACCACCTGTCCAGAGCAGAAAAACGTCACTCCTGAGTACTGGGATTTGTATTCGGGGGGCGTTTTTCGCCCTCCCATGCGTTTCCTGACAACTCGGCGCTGGGCTCGACGCCATGCTATGGGGCGATCTGGACACGAAAAACATCATGTTGGATGCCCCCTCGGGGCGGCCTGGGCATACAAAAAAAAACATGTGGCAAGTGCACGGGCGCCACACGCATGTGCGATACACCTCCACGCACATGTTACTAGCCGGCCGCTCTGCGGTTGATGGGGAGCTTGCGTGTATAGAAGAAGGGAGACGCGCGCTTCTCGGCGAGAGGAAAATGATCAAGATGAGAATGAGCGCGAGGATCTGGAGGGCGAGGCCCTCGAGTGGGAGGATCAGGAGAGTGAGGGTAACGCGGGTCAAGATCAGGCGGGCGTGGCGCCCCCTGCTGGCAATCTCCACCTCCTCCTCCTCCTCCTCCTCCTCCTCCTCCTCCTCCTCCTCCTCCTCCTCCTCCTCCTCTTTCTCCTTCTCCTCCTCCTCCTCCTCTTCCTCCTCTGCCTCCTCCAACTCGATTCGTCCTCCTCCACCTCGTCCTCCTCCCTCTCCTCCTGTTCCTTTTCATTCTTCTCCTCCCCCCCGGGGATTTACCGCACGTCGCCTGAAACGGAACAGGGGGGCCTCTGAGGGCCCCCTTTGGAAGGCTGAGGGGGCCGGTTTTTCTGAGAATGTCCCACGCGAGGGCGCCGGTTTGGAATTCGTCGCCAAATTTCCTTGACCTCACCGGATTTCCCGAATCTCGCCGGAAACGGAGGCCTCCTTGGGGAGGCTCCAGGTGCTGGTTTTCCGGATGTCCCAGGCGAGGGCGCCATGAGTCCAGATTTCCCGGACGTCGCCTGAAACGAAGGGGGGCGGCCTCCTTGGGGAGGCTCTGGGGGCGATCTGTCTGAGGATGTCCCACGCGAGGGCGCCGGTTTGGAATTCGTCGCCAGATTCCCCAGATTTGCCGCATTCCCTGGATTTCGCCTGAAACAGAACAGAGCCCAGGGGCGTCTGAAGGCCGCCTTGGAGAAGCTCCTCCAGGGGCGTTTTTTTCTGAGGATGTCCCACTCGAAGGCGCAGGTTTGGAATTTGTCATCGGATTCGCAGGATTCGCCGGATTCGCCGGATTCGCTCGATTTCCCAGATGTCGTCTGAAAGGGAAAGGGAGCCTCTGATGGCCTACTTGAGGAGGCTCCGGGGGTGGTTTTCTGACGATGTCCCAAGAGAGGGTTCAGTGGAATTCGTCGCTGGATTCCCCAGATTCGCGGGATTCCCTGGACGTCGCCTGAAACGGCACAGGGGGAATGGCCATCCTGGGGAGGCTCCAGGAGTTGGAATTCGTCGCCGGATTCGCCAAATGTCCTGGACGTTGCCTGAAACGGAACAGAAAAATTTTCGAAGGCCTCCTTGGGGAGGCTCCAGGGGCGGTTTTTATGAGGATGTCCCACGCGAGAGAGCTGGTTTAGAATTCGTCGCCGGATCGGATTCGCTGGATATCCCGGATGTCGCCTGAAACGGAACAGGGCGGCCTCCGAGGGCCTCCTTGGGGAGGCTCCAGGGGCGGTTTGTCCCACAATAAAACGCCAATTTGGAATTCGTCGCCGGATTCGCCGGATTCGCCGGATTTTCTGGACGTCGTCTAACACGGAACAGGGAGGCCTCTGGGGGCCCTCCTTGGGGAGGCTCCAGGAGCGGTTTTTCTGAGGATGTCCCTCGCGGGGGCGACGGTTTGGAATTCGTCGTCGGATTCCCTGGATTCGCCACATTCGCCAGATTTCCTGGACGTCGCCTGAACAGGAACAGAAGGGGCCTCTGACGGCCTCCTTGGGGAGGCTCCGGGAGCGGTTTTTCTGAGGATGTCCCACGCGAGGGCGCAAGTTTGGGATTCGTCGCCGGATTCCCCGAATTCGCCGGATTCGCCGGATGTCCCGGACGTCGCCTGAAACGGAACAGGGGACCTCTGAGGGCCTCCTTGGGGAGGCTCTGGGAACTGTTTTGACGACGTCCCACGCGACGGCGTCTGTTTGGAACTCGTCGCCAAATTCCCTGGATTCCCCGGCTTCGCTGGATGTCGCTTGAAACGGAACACAGGGGCCTCTGAGGGCCTCCTTGGGGAGGCTCTGGGAGCGGTTTTTCTGAGTGTCCCGAGCGACAGCGGCAGCTTGGAACTCGTCGCCAGAATCACGGGATTTCCTGGATATCGCCTGAAACTGAACTGAAGGGGCATCTGAGGGCTTCGTTGTGGATTCGTCGCCGGATTCGCTGGATTCGCCGGCTTTCCTGGACGTCGCCTGAAACGGAACAGAGGGGCCTCCGAGGCTACGGGAGCGGACTGTCTGAGGATGTCCCACGCGAGGGCGCCGGTGTGGAAGTCGTCGCTGGACTCCCCGGATTCACCGGATTTCCTGGACGTCGCCTGAACTGGAACAGAAGGGGCCTCTGAGGCCCTCCTTGGGGAGGCTCCAGGAGCGGTTTTTTCTGAGGATGTCCCACGCTATGGCGCCGGTTTGGAATTCGTCGCCGGATTCCCCGGATTCGCCGGATTCGCTGGATTTCCCGCACGTCGCCTGAAACGGAACAGGAGGGCCTCTGAGGGCCTCCTTGGCTCCGGGTGCAGTTTTTCTGAGGATGTCCCACGCGAGGGCGCCGGTTTGGAATTCGTCGCCGGATTCCCAGGATTCGCCGGACTCTCCGGATTTCCAGGACGTCGTCTGCAACGGAACAGGGGGGGCGGTCGGCGGGGCCATTGCCTCGCGCGCCAGGGGTCGGGATGACGTGAGTTCCACAGAGACGCCCTCGAATTACTTGAGAAGCGCGTCCCACTGCTCGCAATGTAACTCCTCGCAAATGGCCTGGATCTGCCATGGGGGATTTACGATGCACTACATCGATGCAGACGTATGTTTTTCTGACGTTTGCGAGTAGGCACTATGCGAGTAGCGGAACGCGCTCGGTGAATTACCTGCGAAGAGGCCGACGACCTCATTTTGGATATCCCCCTCGACGCACTTTCCTCGAGCGGGCACGCACGGAAAGCACTTCTTCGACCAACGAATGTCCTGCACGCTTTGATTGATCGAGCGGACTTTCGAAAACCAGCGCTTCGCCTGAGACATACTCCTAAAAATCCGCTGGCCTCCTTCGACCTCGTCATTTGTGCAGGACAAAATCCAGCGACCTCCTTCAGTAGAGGCACCGGGAACGGGTTTACCGACTAGCCCTTTGCGGGAAAAACGAAACTGACCCCCCCGCCGGCCATCACCCGTCCTTCCCCGAGGCGGGGAGGGAGGGGAAGAGAGGCGTGGAATTAAGTTGTTCCCATCGTACTCAAAAGGAGCACATCCCATAAATAATTCCGAGCACCCAGAAAGATATCTTAACCATGCCTGCCCGATACACTAGGGAAGTGTGGAAAGAGCATCGCCTCCCAGGGCCCGACACGTGAGAACTCTCCAGTTTCGGCATGTTCTTTGTGCTCGAAACTCCTTCTGGCGATCAAGGTTAAGCTAGGTTGGAACATCGCAAGAGTGAAGAAGCACCTGATCGCATAAATCTTCTCTGGGAGACCTCCTAGAAAGGGTCTGAGTAGATGGGGTCGGAGGATCGCGTCGCATCGCCGATGTATCGGCGATGCATCGGCGATGCATCGGCGATGCACCAGCAACGTCGGTGATACACTGGTGACGTCGGCGTGGAAAAACTCAGGCTCCACACCGAGCCGCATCGCCGATACATCGGCGATGCGGCGCGATCCTCCGACCCCATCTACTCCGACCCCATCCAAGAGGCCTACGTGCTCGGGGACTGCCTCTGGTCTGCCGCGTCGGCGGCAGCCAGCAGCACCCGCAGCAGACTCATGAGCGGCCGCGGCCCGGCGGAGCCGACAGCGCCGCCCGGCGGCGGCCCCCGGGAGCACCCGGGGCCGTCCCACTCGGCGGCGGCTCCGGCCGGGGGCTCCTTCGAGGAGAAGGAGAAGGAGGAGGAAGAGGAGGAGGAAGAGGAGTGGGGAGAGGCGAAGTCCAGACGAGCGCAGTCAACCCGTCTCGTAAAGACGCACGATAAAGGACGCAAGGGCCCTGGAAGGCCATCTCTCGAAGCTCTTCGAGCGGGGCGCGGCCACTGAAAGCGGCCAAGGATGAACCGAGGAGGGAAGGATGCAAGGGTACTCTTGGGAAGGTTGCCCATCCTTAACCATGCTGGTCGACTGTAAGCCCAGACGGAGACCAAGAACTCCATATAGACTCACTCCGTACAGCCTCCTCCGACCTTCCGCCGGGGTCGCTCGGGCCAAGGGGGGGGGGGCGGGGGCAGGATCAACCAGGCACGCCTAGGAGCGCAATCGGAATCGGGCAAGTCTTGGCCCTCGGCCACGTCGCCCGGGAAGGGTCTGCACGGCTGCGCCTGGCCCCCAGTGGCCGCCAGGTTCGCTGAGCGACCACGGTCCTTCCGCTTGCCGAAGACCACGCCCTGGGCCCACAGGGGCGGGTCCGCGCAGAACAGCGACACCTCCGCGCCGCTTCACCGGGAGGAAGGGGGGGGCGAGAGTCTCCCGGGGGAGCGCCGGCACACACACACACGTTCGTTCCTGCTGCGCGCGGCCGATTCCACACCACGGAGCGAAGCATCGGGTCGCGACTGCATCGGATCGGCAGCTTTGTGACGAGGCGCAGCGAAACGAACACGCAACAGAAAAGGGCCGGCAAGAAGACGAAGCAGGGAAGAGCGGGCCAGGGAGAAGAGCGGCGCTTGAACCCACCGACGCCAGCAGGGCACTGTCAACCCGTGCCAGCTGAAGGAGTACAGTCGACCCGTACCATAAGGATGCACGATGAGGGTGCTAGGGCCTTGGAAGGCCATGCTGACACTTTGCGAGCGGGGCGCGGCCAACGAAAGCGGCCAAGGATGGACGGAGGAGACGAGGATGCAAGGGTGCCCTTTGGAAGGCCGCCCGTCCTTATCATGCGGGCGGACTGCAACGCAGAGTCACCCGACGAGGGGGGCACGGCAGAGACAGGACGGGAGGAATGAGTATCGTTTAACCCATCCCCATCCCCAGCGACGTGGCCTGGGCCTCACTGGGCGATTTACCCCCCTAGATGGGGATATATAGGCCGTTCCCCTCGGGTTTCGAGGGGTGTATCCCCAACTGGGGTGGTAATCTGGTGGGAGTCTCGAAGGGGATGGGGATGGGGATGGAGATTGGTGAAACGATACCGAGAGACAGGACGGGAGGAAGGGGAGCTGAGCGGAAAAGAGCGGAGCAGTTGCTGGGATGCCTGGCGACACAGGCCGTGCCCTTCGCGGGCGTGAAAGGCCACACGCGCAGGCGTCGAGGCGCACATCGGGTCGAAGGGCGAAGTGCAGTGCGCACACCCAGGGGTGGGCTGCGGGGGGGAGAGGCGAAAGAGCGGGCGGTGTCACTCGGCAAGTACACAGAGGACACAAGGAGCAAGGCGAGGCGACAGCGCACACACACACACACACACAAACACACACACACACACACACACACACACACACACACTCACACACGCACACACACACACACACACACACACACACACACACACACACACACACACACACACACACACGCACACACACACACACACACACACACACACACACACACACACGCGCGCACACACACGCGCGCACGCACACACGCCCACGCACGCACGCACGCACGCACGCACGCACGCACGCACGCTTTTTGGGCGGGTAGCGACCTCGCGCACAGCAATCAGGCGGAGAAAGTGCAACAGTCAGAACAGCGGGCGCGCAGCGGCCGGGTCCTCAAAATCGCTTAGGATGCAAACCTACTGGCACCAGCCATCTGGGCATGGATGGCAGGGAGGGAACACGCAAGACCACGGGAGAGACGCACCGCGGCAGAGTGAGATTCGGAGAACGCCATACGCCGTTCGGGCGTGGACAGCGAGGAGAAACTTGCACACCAGTGAGGCTGCCCCACCGCGAGAGCGATGGCGGACAAATCGTCGGCAGGCGTAGCGTTCTCGAGGCTGGTGTGCTGGTGGCCCTTTGCCAGCCAGGACCTCCACGCAGTGCAGAAGACAGGAGCACCTTCCCACTCCCCCTCGAGCCAGGTGGTGACCTGCGTGGCCAGGCGGCGCTGCGCAGGGCAGGGATCGGGAGGGCCAGCCGGCGAGCCGGCCTTGGGCGCAAAGCGCGCCTCAGGTGGCGGAAGAGGAATGGCGATGAGGTGCAATCCCTTCACGGGGCTGGCAGGAGGGGCAAGGTCTGGCGGTGGCGGCGCAGGAGAGGCAACGGGAGCGACAGCGCGCAGGGCTGCCCCGCGGCCGCTGGCGGGCCGTGTTCCAATGACCATGGGCTTGTGGTCGAGGGCGGGGTCGTCGCCGTAGAGCTGCCCTTGGGGCGGCGGCAGGGGTGGCGGCGGTGGCGGGGCGGGGGCGCAGGGCAGGCGGCACTCTGGCAGTGGGCCGACCTAGGGTCGGAGGGCGCCGCTGCCGCCATAGACCTGCGGCGTCCACGCGAAGGGCGGTACGCGCACGCTGGCCGGCCAGCTGCCGATGGGCAGGCCGACTGAGCGGGACCTGGGTTCCGCCTTGGCAGGCGCGGGGCGTTAAGCCTTGGCAGGCTCGCGGGAGCTGGCGGCAGCCGCGGACTTTGCAGGCTGGCGCGCGGTGGTCCCGCTGATACTCACGGGCGAAGAACAGTATAACATAACTGTTTTCGCTGTCGGGGGCGCCTGTCCCAGGGCGGCTGGAAAGTTTACACCCTTACGATGGCACCGTAGGGGTATAAACGTTCCAGCCGCCCAGGGTCAGGCGTCCCCGACGGCGGAAAAGTTTATCTTATACCGTTCTTCGCCCGCTGATGATAGGGCGGCTGGCTTGGCGGCGCGGAGCCACCGGGAAGGCGACGGTCTCGTCCGGAAGCGTGCCTGCGGAGTGGAAGCGGGGAGCGCCCACCTGTCGCGGAAAGTCGCGGGACACTGGCCGCCCATGTGAAGCGCGCGCAAAGCGAGACTTAGCAGCGGGAGGGCTGCCTTCTGCCGCATCGAGATCGCCGAGGTGCAGGGCGCCCCGCTGTTGACTGGGCCTCGGACGTGGACCCGTAGGAGAAACCGGAGCTGGAGCTGGCAGAGTCGGCGCCAACCGTGCGGCGGGCGGATGCCGCTGGCAAGAGGGGAAACGGGCGTGGCTCTGCACGATCGGAGCGGGCGGACCAATCACTTGCTCTGCTGCGAAAGCGACTGCGGGGCTGTACACCACGCTGTCGGCCGAGCTCGTTCCCCCGTCCGCCAAGTGCGGGGCGGGGACGAGGAAGTTGGACAACGCTGGGGACTCGAAGGGGCCCAAGCTGCGTCGGTGAAGCGCTGCAAAAAGCCAGGGAGGAAATAGGTAGGAGCCGTGTCGGCGCCCTTGTGACTGCTGATGTGAGGCTCGGCCCCTTGGCTTAAAGTGTCTCGCAGATAGAAGCGCCACGCTGGCATGTCGGCCCGTATGCGGTTCCTGCCATCGCTGCCGCCGGGCACGCAATACCTGACGTGGAGCTGCTCAAAGGCGAGACGGCGGAGGTCGGCCTCGTCGATTCCCATGAAGCCCCAGGCCTGCGGGGCAGCGTCAGGACGATAGGCTCCCAGCCTTGCCAGGCTGCGGAGAAGCTGTCGGCCTCAATGGGTGGGTGACCGAAGTCGATCCACCGCTCCACGATCACGTGGCGGATAACGCGCGAAGGGGCATTGACACAGGCAGGCAGGGTCCCACACGGCGGCTTGAGTGACGCGCCCGACGGGCCTGGCAAGTCGCGCGGCGAGGGTGAAAAGCTTGAGCTTGCCGTAAACGTGGATGATCATCTGGAGTGCGGTCAGCTCCGCCGCGCGGTCAACGGCTCCGCGCGCAAGAACGATGAGAGGAAGATCGGGCCCAGGCTGGTCACTGGGCCCTGAGGACCGCTGTGCTGAACCGAAAACAACCGGGGGGTCCAGCGGGGCTGCCCCCCACAGGACCGCCCGCTGCGCGGCGGGGCTGTGGCTGTTCCTGCCTTGTCCTGGCTGGGGCCCGGTGAGCTATAACGGCGGGGGCGTTTCGGCGTCTGGCTGGGCCACGGGAGCACCCGCCGCGCCGCGGCCGACGCCTGGAGAATCACACACACACACACATACACACAAGTTGCGGCGTCGCGGCCCCGCGCGCGGCGACGGGGCGCTGAAATTCGAAACCAGGCAACGAAGTGCGCGCCTACGCCCGGCCGAACGGTCAGAGACCGCCCGGTGCCTCTTAGCCGCCAGCAGCCATAACCATCTGGGCATGGATGGCGGAGAAAGGGCGATGAGTAGACGAGAGAACTACGAAGGCGACTTAAGCCAACTGTGACCGGAAGGCGGGGAGAGCAAGCAAGCAGAATGGACCGACAAGAAGCGCGACAGGGAGCGACGGACACGGACACACACACACACACACACACAAACACACACACACACACAACACACACTTGTCTGCCAGCGGCGAGGCGGCAAACTCCACTCCGGCGAGAAGCTAGATAGGGGCACCAACTAGCGAATTGGCCGGCGATCAAAGGGGGGACGGCCGAGAGGAAGAGGGGACGCTCAGACGTCGAAGAGTACATACATACATACATGTATATATATATATATATATATATATATATATGTTTGTACACAGGGCAATGTTAATGCATGTGATAGTTAACATATTGGATTCTGAATGCATGATTAATGTATGAATAAATGTATGTATGAACTCATCGTTGTTTTTGATACTAAATCCCCCGTTTTGTTCATGCATGATCCGCACGCGGAGC